GTTGTGTAATCTGACCTTTGGTCTAATCTAAAAACTGTTTTCCCGTTATGAAACAAAAAAATAAAATAAAATGTATGATTTGGCCGAGAGCAGCACTCTCTAGTGTGCAATACAAACACAGATGTTACATTTTCCAACAAAACCACAGAACCAAAGATGCGTTTGCACAAAAATGCGGCAGGTCGGCACTCGAAATGGAGAGTGGGTTTGTCAAGATACCAGCGATGAAGCCCAGCTGAAGATGATCTGCACACAGACAAATGTTTTGTTGCATTTTTGGAGTAGCAGCAGGAGTGAAAGGGAAGCCTACAAGATGGGAGTGAACCTGCTGCCGTGTGTCGTTTGGAGATGATGACACCGACAAAGAGACAGGAGGCCCGGCTGAAGATATTAAGATCCACACTGGGAGTGAGCAGGATGGAAGGGATTTGAAATGAATATGATGAAGTTCGAGCTCCATGCAGAAGAAGAGAAGATTCAGAGGACAGATGTTTGGTGCGACAGGAGAACAGACAACAGAGAGGGAGAGATGGAGACAGCTGATCTGCTGTAGAGACCAACGAAGACATGGAAGAAAGACCTACTCCAATTTATCCGTGTATTTAACTCCAAAATTTCCCCTCACTTCCTCTGACATGTCAGCGCTGCTGCTCTGCCTTGCTACCTGTCATTCACCTCACCACCCCAGCATCCACCCGTAGACCACGCCCCAATTTTATATTTTAATTGCAATGATTGATGGCACGTACGCCCCAAAGTAACTGCCAAAATAACTAGATTTCAAAAGTCCATTATATCCAACCAAACTTTTGTTGTATAAAAACACAAGTTACAAATATATTCTTATCCTTTATAGGACATGATTGTTTTTTGTTGCTCTCCAGGTGTAACAATGAGAATGAATGGTACCAGATCCATGAGAACATCATCCGCAAGTCCAGCACCAAATACACGGCACCCAGCACCAACTACGGTAGGAGAGACCACGTGTTTGTGTACCCTGAGTTTGGATGATCGGACCCCAACAAACTGAGTGTGGGATGAAGAGCACATCTCTGATTTATGCTAAATACAAATACTGAAGCTCATAGTTACATTTAAGAATAAATAACTTGTTAATATCTCAAAGATCTCCACTTTCTTTCATGCAAACTTTTCTGGGTCTGAATCCCGAACAAGCCCCGAAACTGTTATGTTCCCTGAAACGGGCTACAGGACGAGGGGAGTAACAGTAGAGTATCCATGTGAAAGAAAAGGTGAAAAGATTACAAACTCAACCCTGATTTCATTAAAAGCTCTAACTTCGCCTCTACGCCCTAAATAATCCAGAAATAAAAGAAAAGCATCAGCAAACAGATAATGTTGGGAAATAAAAATGAAGAATCTGCACCTCAACAACACAAAAGAAGAAAAACCCACTCTGCAAACAGGAGGTCACAGTTACTCACTGGGAGCTTGACATAATTAAAACACAACACACGGCTAAGGCTACTGTACGTCTGGCCCATAGAGAGACTGAGCTGCTCTCCTCCCCAGCTCTTACACTGTAGGCCTGGTTGATCGCTGAGTGCAGCCAGCTGTGCCCTCACTCCACTGGAAATGACGGGCAACCCAGCTATGGTAAGAGAGGAGGCATAAAGGTTAGCAATCAACACCCAAACAACACAGCAGGCTTGCTACACGTATATCGGAGCACAATTTATTGTCCTAAAAGTATATTTTTTTATTCTACTGGATTTTTTTGTCCAGGTGAATTATTTTGGCCACAAAACCCAGAAGCAGATGCGTTATCCTTGCAGGGTTACCCTGCAACATTAGCAGTGCGGTGGTGTTTTTGTGAACACAGCAGCCGAGGGTGGAGGCAATTTCTAGCACTCAGTTATTGCTCCAGCCCGCTGATGTTCTGTGTGGACCGTTTCTTCCAGTCACTTTATTACTTCTGTCAAAGCACAGAGGGCAGGAGCAGATTCTAGTCCTGCAGCACTTGTGACTCGTTTTATTTCATCGCTGATGAGTCAGCCGACATTTCAGGAACACTGAACAAAAAAAGAGTTCCCAGGAGCAACTTATTTAGATTAGAGCGTCTGACTGACACATGCAAGTCATCACACTGACATCAGCAGGAAAATCATATTAATTGGTGTCACTGTGGAGGACTCTCCTCTGCCCCAGTGTTAAAGTCTGTGAACTCCCATGACCCCGCACAGATATGCTTTTGTTTTCAAGTGAAGAGATGAACCCAGACTAACAGGCTGAGAGTCTGCTGGAAAAGCAGTTTGGCAACGTTTAGCATGCATTGAAATGTTTGTTCTGATTCTGGGGAGATCAAACGAGCTCTGCAGCTTCAAAACTCTGTTTAGACTTTTTAAGTTTATCTGAATTTTATGTGTGGCCTAAAGGCTGTGCTTTTTAAATAGGACACTTTGTTCTGTCTTCTTCCTTTGCTTTTCATCCATCTCTCTACCCATCTTCTTTTTCTGTCAACCCACTCGTTCCCATTTCTTCCCCTTCACATCCTGCAGGGCTGATCATCTCCCTGCAGCTGCTGAGGGGCGACATGGAGCAGGTCCGCAGAGAAAACCCGCTCATTTTCAGCAGGGGGGTGGCCATCACACGCAAACTGGGATTCCCAGATGTCATCATGCCTGGTGAGTCACGTATCCAGCTTCATGTAGGCCTACCCATCACAGCGCAGCGGGCTGTCCACCTCAACACTTCTATTCTTAGTTTACGTAAGCACACAGCAGAGATGGACTCCGTGAATAACACGTAAAAGAAATAAAAACAACAATTCAGGTTTGAATCATGTAAATGGGTCAGACAGGAATAGAAAAAGTGCTGAATGTCTGGGCGGGTGTTTGTACATCTCTACCTTCTGCTTTTGAAGAAAGGAGCAAAAACACGTACCTGTTGAGCTGAAGCACAGAGAAAAGGTGCAGTGTTGCAGGTGTTCTTCTCGAGCAGGCATTCTGTAAACAGTTTTATTTCTTGCAGCTATAAAAATCTTCAAAAGCTTTGTTTGGCTTTCAAAGAGGCCTTTGGATCAATGTCCAAGTTCCAAACAAAGAAGGAGAATTTAGATTTGAGGTCCAGGATCCCTGAAAATAAACAAGTGACTTCAAGGCTGGACAGATGGACAGAACCACAGAAGCTGATCTGCGCTCCTGCCGGGCTGCTGCTTAATTTAGATTCCTACATGGGAGCAACAAAGGAGTGAATCTGGTTTTTCCAGCAGGAACGTCTCCAAAGCACTGGTCGAAGTAAACAGTTTCCCAGAATTGGAGCCGCTTTGTGATATTCCTGTGTTAGCTTCCTCTTCTGAGAGCTATAAATCCATTACAGGGAGACCGAATGTGTCAGTTTGCATCTCTCCACTGACTTCATTTTAATTACAGTGGAGCTTCTCCTCCTGTAATATGTTAAAATGTTTGCGAAGACCTTCAAAGCTGTAAATGTGTTATTATTTAATAACCCAATAAACTGAGTTACAGGCTTGTAGATATTTAAGTCCACAGATGTATTTTTCATAAGTGTGGAAATCTCTTTCAGCAGTACTTAGCTTAAGTCACTTTGATGATTTAATGTCTTGTTGTACAGCTTCCCAGCTGTTTCTGTCGGTGTGTAAAAGATAATTCAATCTTCTCAACAAGTGCACTGCCTGCTGTCAGAGACGTGTTAGGCATGCACGCTCATTTATTTATCAGTCTTAGCTCTTATCTGCCCCAGAGGACTGACATCATTTAGTCCAGCCCCTCTGCAGGAGACTGGAGCTCGAACTATCTGGTCCTGGGTGAGGAACCAGACAAAGAGTGATTCAAATGATTTGCCATGGGAGACCCTGGCAGGGACAAATCCCCCCAACCCCTAAAAAAAAAAAATAAATAAATATATATATATATAAATCTCCACCACAATAAAGTAGTGATCGTGTTGTTGAACAGAACATGGAAATGTCGAGTGTTAATCAGACCTTTAGAAATCATTGC